GCACTTAAAGTATCTTGCATGCTTGCAAAAGAAATGAAACGTGCATTGATTGAAAGAGTAACTTAAGCTAATAGCGAATTGTACTAATAAAGTAAAATTAATCTGAGATTGCATGTAAAGTAACCTGACAATGCATGTAAAGTAAATCTTAGGCTCTCCAGACAACACTAAATTAATTTTCACTAGATTTATCTTCTCAGGCTGAGCATCGAATGTAGAGTGTTTTTCTGAGCTCTAGTATGTCTAGTTTCTAACAAGTGGGATGTTAGTTGGTAATGTTGTACACATTCTACATGAAATACGCTCTCATATTCAGTAGACCATGCTGGAGAGCAGGAGGAGTTTTAAATTGATGGAAGGAATAAAATGAGTAAATGCACCTCCATTAGAGGAAAATATTTAACTGTTTAAAATGTTAAAAGTGGTTGGAATGCTGTTTTTATGAAACAAGTTCTAAATCAAGATACCTGGATGGAGTCAAGCCAAGAAAAAGTACGAGGAAGATTGTAATTAATGATCCATGCTAATCGTCTGTAAAAGTGCAATTCAGAAATTTAACATTTAGTTTGCAAATGTTGACTCACACTTAGGTTTAGGATTTGAATATCTTATCCAGGCTTTTAAAGCTTTGTTACGCGATACTTAAAATCTGGCGAGGAAAGATGTAAAATTTCCCTTTTTTAGTATAACAAATTATTTTAAGTTTTGCACCTTTCCTGAGCCTCTCATTTTACCTTCGCATTTCCTCGCCAGGATACAAATTAGTGAGTTAAGTGAAGGGAGACGAATCTTGTAGTTTATTCAGAGCGTGATTTCGCTAGCCAACACATGTTACTAGTTTGTCTTTGCTGTTACTCTGAGTTTTTGATACGAATTTTGGCCACTTAATAAGTACATTGCCGGGTAGGTTGTTGAGTCAGCCTAGTTAGCCTTAAATTGAATTGTTAGTCCAGCAATACTCTTTGAAATTATGGTATAACTATTCTTAAGTTCCACAGCATGTAGTTGGTGTTATTTGTAAGCACGAAGTTGTGCATTTGTATTCATAGTTTGTTGAATAATAAAGGGTTATTTTATCATTCTTCTGTGCTGGTAGTGTTTTACGCCTGTACGAGAAGTCGCGAGGTTTTCTCGTAAGATTACGTCAACTGTGTGACAGCTAAGAAGGTTAGATCTTACAAGGTAATGAATTTATATAATTTTCTTTTAGATCAAGATGAAATTTGAGTTGGAGGTCGGTTACAAAATTCTCAACCCAGAAAGGATTCAAAACACTCAAAGCTAAGCATACATTTACTACAGCATTTATGGAATATTTCCATAAGAAAAGTTTGCACGTCGGTCCTCAAACAGTATTACATTGAGTCAGACAGGAATTTTGGCTCATTGGAGGCAGATATCTGGTTAGAAAAACTGTAAATGCCAGTGTAATTTGTTTCATAAACAAAACTATGAATTCAAATCAGTTATTGGGAAATTTACTAGTCGAGCGAATCAATAAAGGCTCAAACTTTTCCAACTGTGGAATTAACTTCTGTGGTCCTTTTCTTATAAATTAGAAGATCAACGTAAAGGAACCTTTCAAAAGGTATATGTAGCAATATTCATATGCTTTGCCATCAAGGCAGTCAGTCCCTTTGGATCACAGATTTAACATCAAAGGCACTTATAGAAGTATTAAAACGTTTTTTCGCAAGGAGAGGAACATGTTTATTGACAATGCTAAATATTTCATTGGGACATGCTCGGAGCTAAAAAAGCTGCTGAAACTAATGAGTAGTCAAAAGAAAAATTTAGCGAACTATTTAACATCCGAATGTATTAAACGGAAATTCATGTCCCCTCAGATCTCCAAACTTTGATGAGTTACGGGAATCGGGCTAAATCCCTTAAAATACCTCTGACGAAGAATAATTGGTTTATAAATTTAAACATTTGAAAAACTACTAAAGCTATTAGACAAATAAAAGGGATCTTAAATAGCCGACCAATTAGTCCAATGTCTACATACCCCGGTGATTTTAATGCGTTGACTCCTAGTAATTTTTTAACTGGTCGTCCATTAAATTCTGTTGCAAAGCAGATAGCAGTTGATAAGCCGGACAATTATTTAAGGAGCTCTCAAAAAACCACAAATTTTATTCAGTGTTAAAATTTATTCAAATTTACCTCTTCATTTAAGCGCGCGAAACAAATGGATGTTTCTAAAAAATAACGCTAAATCCAACACCATGTTATTCTTAAGGCTAAAGATTTGGCCCCATACAAATCGAAGTTTGGCCTCATAGTATAGTTAAAGGTGCGGACAAAGCTGTTATCAAATTTGATAATTAAGTCTTTTCATGATAATTATGAATGCGATACACCTCGGTAATGTTTTTCAATCTTGTGGTAATACTTCTTAAATTGTTGTTTTTTATTTGTAATATGCTTTGTATTAACTTTTTTTTTTTCTGTTTGCATACTTTTTTGTTTAATATGTTCATGCATCAGTATATATATTTTGAAATTTTCAAAATTTCAACGCCATGTATGAGTGTGCCACGTTTGTCTATGTATATCATCTAGCGGCAAGAATGAGTCGATACAATCGGTATCTGCTCAACGCAGAAGCTGCAGCAACAAGCGGAGTTTACTTAGGCAAACAAATGCATCGCTATTGAATTTAAAATTTTTCATTCATAGTCCGCTGTGCTTAGTTCTTAACAAGCGTTACACCTCCATATACACTTTCCTTTATACCAAGTTTAGTGAGCTTTGCTAAACAATTAATCCTTGCGGACGGCGATTTTATTCATACTCGTCTTCCGAATTATTTTTACTGAATTTGTTAAAAGGTAGAATTTCATTCAGACGCATTAAGCCTCTCTTCCACTGCTGCGTATGCGTTTCTCCAATCAGCGAGCGAATTCACTTTGATTGACATCTGCAATCCGGTCGATGTGCGGTGACGGATGACATACGGATGGAGTTCAACAATGTTCAACTTCTATCCGTATGTCTGCGGACCAACGAGATATATACACCTGTTCTATGAAGTCGTTGGGTTAGACGCGCCGAGTTGGAGCGAAATAAAGTTTCAAACAAAGTTGAATTTCTTTTAAATATGCTTTTAAGCTCTTTTTTGCTCATCAGCCATTGTTAATGATAGGCAGTGACGGCTGGCTTGATTCACTTGAAATTTTTCTACATATGTGCCTTTTTATGTGTGATCACTGATCAAATTTGAACAAACGCGGCCAAACCCGAACATTTCTCGGCTAGAGATAAAATTGAAACATTTGTTTTCAGCGGTCAAAACTGAGCAAATAGGAAATTTTTCTATGAAATCTACGCAATTGTGTGATTTACTTATTTTGGAGATTACGAGCTGCCATTGGCTTAGAAATAATTTGAATGTCAAAAAATATCTCTCTTCTTCCAGTGTGACCTAGACAAACTACAAACTGAAAGGCTTGACGCTTCTAGTTTACAGACCACTCAATTCATCTGGTAGCTAGAATCTATACCAGAGAGGAATTTAATAGTTTCAGGGGGGATGCAGCCGGCCTTTTATTTAGCAGTTTGGTATTCAGTTTTAGTTTATGAGTAGAAAAAATAATATTTTATTCAAGTTTTGGAATTTACCATCATTTTCTATACATTGTTAAAAAATATCCTTTATGGTTGATGTGGAATATCCTTTCCTTACACATTTTCCTATTACAAATTTATTCAAAACAACCAGAAAATCACCATTTCAGAAGTACCATTTCAAAATTTTTGAGTTCGGAGAAAATTGGCTCATGCCACAAGACAATAAATTTGAAGTATAATGGAATTTATCAAAATTTTTTTTCTTTCAGAAATAAGATACTTAATCGGATTTACTGGATAGGAGTATTGTAGGCATAGTATTTAGGATTGGAGAAAATTTGGAATACTAAATTATTTGCAATCATTTTTAAGTAAAAATGGTAAAATAAATGAAGTTTGCACATATTATATATATATATGTGCCAACTTCATTTACGATCTTTACACATAAAATACAACGATATGCAAAGCTGCTATGTTATTGTGGAAGGCGGTAACACGAAAATCAACTAAACTGTCGCTAGGATTCGAATCACGAATTTTCCGATTACCAGCCAGACATGCTATGAATTCCACCAATGGTGTAAGCAAAAACTCCTTAAATTCTTCCTCACTTTAAAGAGTAACTAGGAAGAGAAGTGATCCAGTCGCCAAATCAAGGTGGTAATGAATTATCATCCATATTTTAATTGGTTGCCACTAGTAAAATCTATCAGGCTTTACGAAGTAGGAAACAAGAAATATCAACTATGCTGTCACTGGTTTACATAATTAGAGCACGCTGTGGGGAAAAAGAAAATTTATAGAATCTGATATTAAATTCTATATTAAAACTACTTGCATATGAGTTACGCATATAGAAATTTACAATATTTCGAAACTTATGATTTAAGTTTAGAAATATTGTGAAATTCCCTTGCATAACTCGCATGCAACTGGCTACTAGCCCACAGTTATGATGTAGGCGATACCTTTCAGTTGTAAAGTGAATAACTGTTATGAAAGATACGCTGGGATTTTCGCATTCTGCTGGAATCTGAGTTGCATCTTGGAAAAAACCAGGCCTTTTAGTGATATTCAGGTTCATCGAATATTCGGAATTGTATATTTTTGGAGTATGAGTATATGAATTGTTGTAACACTTTCTAAATGTAACAGAATTTGGCATATGCTCCCTGACTGCGCAGGAAACTCGAAATGAAGAACACGTAACATGAGCTTCTTTTCCATCGGGCTTTTCAGTTATGCCTAAGAAAGGCTAGTTCCCTTCGTAAAAAAAAAAGGTTTTTATAATTGATTAGCGGAAACAAATCTGCATCTAGGTCTTTCTTGAAAGCAAAGTAATATAAAGCAAATTTTCATTAAGCTGAGCAGGACACCTGTAGCACTAATCTGATGAGCTTAATTTTATCAAAATTATTAACCAGCCAACGCCTCCTCCGTTATGCAAGGCGACCCATGTAGCTCCTCGGAAAGCATCTCCAATGCAGTTTTGAACAGCCATATCTGCAATATATAATTTAATATATAAGTAATTTCAGCAATACTTCTTTTAAATACAAACAAATAATTATCCTTGATAAAATGAAAACCTTTAAAGCATATATATATAAGAATAAAAAAGCTAACTTTTTACTTTTCGCCACAGCACTGTGACGGAAATCCTAGAACATTTATTTTCGATATAAAATTGCAAGACGAAAGATTTTGTCAACGGCTCTTAGTGTATGAAGAACATAAAGTATAGTTTATGAAAGTTTAAGAATTTCTATAGATTAATGATTAATAGATAATAGATTAATGAAATTAAAGTAGATATACCAAAATCAAAAGTAAATTTTAATATCAACCTGCACAAAACGCAGAACCATCGCTGATATTGGAGGTTTCACGGAATGGACTATCGGTGCCGCTGACATCATGGTGATCGCGGCTTAAAACTATTGGGCTCTGAAAAAAGAAAAGAAAAAGAAGGAAAAACATAACAGTCAGTAACATTAATGGATGTTATTTTCTACATAATTTATTAATTTTTGCCATACTGCGTGTCATAGTTACGACTTATACGTGCAAATTTGTATTCATAAATGTCTTAAGAAACAGAGTCGGATGGAATTATTTAATTATAGCAGAAAACGTATGGGCTACTTCTATCTGAGAAGAGTAGCTTTTATGGAAGATTTTCTAACAAAATATGGTTTATATTTGCATCATATATGAGTGCTTCCCTTTGCTCTGATACTGAGCCATTATGTAACAATCTGTTTTGTCTATGGCCACAGTATGTCAGTTGGCCGAAACGACAGCGTTGGAGATACTGTCGACAAGATGCTATAGTTGACGAATAGTAATGACAGTTTCTTTTCCATACCATCGACAAAAAGAAAAAAAGTCACATGGAATTAAATCTAGAGCCAGAGATGGCTACCATATTGTAGCGAAGCGGTATCTTTAAATTAATAAACATAAGAATACATCAATGCGAGTGGACTGTAGTTTAACCTTTATTCAGCAGTTTCGACTTTAGAACACAACACAGCAAAAAGTAAAGCGAGAAAGTCACAATTAGCTTTTGCAAGAATGCAAGAACAAAATGCGATCTGCGCATACGATCTGCGCATTGCGAAATAATATCTCACAAGTAGGCAGAGAGCTCTGGTGGCCGAAACATTCCGCCTGGCGTTGAAACATCGTTTCAAATCTAAATAGCTGTTACAAAATGAAATTATAATAACAATATTAAATTATGCAAAAATGTGTCATTAAAATAGTCACAAGGAAACATAATATGAAATTATTAAATGAAACTAAATTGTTCTCAAAACAGATGCACAGAAGCCTTGATACAATTCAGGAACTTTAATTAAGAACTTTAATTAGTTAAAGCAAAGTACAACGTTATAATGCTTTAGGAAAAAAAAAAAACCTTTAAGCCTTGTTGTGGTAGATTTAGTTGAATTATTTGCAAACCGAAAACACCATGCAATGATTAAGTTTCAAGGATGATGAAACTTCATTAAGGACTGCAATTTGCGAAGCTACTGTTCCAATTGAACAAGAAACATTTTCCCGTTGTTCTTTTAAAGACTCTTCTGAAAATGGTAAGTTGATAGAAAACGGAATATTATTAAAGCTTACTGCGGCGTAAGCTTTCTATGATGCGTCACAGAAACAATGAAGTTCTACATTTTTAGCTTTGGGCAATAATACTCTCCTAGGAATACGAATGCATTCAAGATTTGCTATATCTTCACAATAGATTTTCCATCTTTCATTGATTTCATCTGGTAAGGTATCATCCCACGAGATTTGTAATTTCCACATATCTTGAAGCAAGATTTTTGCTGCAATTATGAAAGGTGCTAACCAACCAAGTGGATCAAAGATTTTCGAAATAGAATACAAAATCATTCTTTTAGTAGAATGCTCTCTTTTTCAAGATTTACTTTTTTCAAGATTTACTTTTTCAAGATTTTCTTTTTCGAGATTTTCTTTTTCGAGATTCTCTTTTTCGAGAAGTGACAAGTAAACTCGTCTTGCGTTAGATACCGCTCCAAACCCAATAATTTTATTGATTTAGTATCAACTACTGTACATGAAGAATTAGCTTTCTGAGCATTCAATGCAGTTTTTAAAATCGAGTGATCATTTGTATACCATTTATGCAATTGAAAGCAACTTTTTTTGTGAAAGTTCACTCAGTTGTGAAATTAACTCTACTGTATTCTCTACTGTGTCTGAACCAAATAGAATATCATCAATATAACAATTGTGTAATATTATTTCAGCTGCCTTTGGAAATTTAGCTCCTTCGTCAATTGTTAGTTGTTTGAGTACGCGAGTAGCCAGGTATGAGGCTGAAGTAGTGCCGTACGTAACTGTGCACAACCTGTAAGTTTTAATCGGTTTCGATGGATCATCTCTTCACAATATTTATTATAATCGCGATCTTCATCATGAATTTGAACTTGTCGATACATTTTCAATAAGCCGCTAGTGATGGGATAGCATCTAAACCTCAAACGAATAGTAAATAAGTCGTCTTGTACCTTGAGACCATTCATTAGCATGTCATTAAGCGATATCCCTGATGTAGTTTGGTACTAGCATTGAAAACGACGCGTAGTTTTGTGGTAAGACTTGTTTCTTTTAGCACGTGATGATGAGGTATATAATAATGATAATTTATTTTATCTAGATTATCATCGGATAATTCTTCCATGTGTCCAAGTGATAAATATTTGGACATGAAGTCTTTATATTGTTGATATACTTCAGAAGTTTTTATTAGTTTTTGACGTGATTTTCCACGAAATGGGTTTCACACAATCTTTCCTCTTTAGTTAAAGGTTTCGATGCGGGAATTTGTTCCAAATCCCAAAAATTATTTAACTACTAATTCCTTCGTGCTTACGTTTAGCGTATTGACTGAAACCTTCTTAAGGTTTGGGAATTCAAAATGTGTAGTTCCAGCAATTACCCATCCTAACTTAGAACAAAATGCAAATGGAAGATTTTTGCCCCTTTTAATTACCTCTCCATTGATTAAAGTAAGGAATATGTTAACTCCAAGCAAAATATCAATTTCTCCCGATTCATGAAATGTAGGATCTGCTAAAGTTAAATCTTGAAAACTTTCATATAAATTCAAAGGTAATGTTACACTTGGAATGTTTCCTGTAATTTTGTCTATTATGTAAGCGGACGTTGAAATTCTGTAACTAGTATTAAAATGAGGTGTAAATAACAAGTCAACTTCTCCAGTAGTAGTTGTATTGAAAGTACCTAAGCATGACACTAATATCTTCGAATCCTTTACGCTCAATCCTAAATTGATAGCTGTTTTCCGACGAATGAATGAATTTTCACTACCTGAATCTGGTAAACATCTACAATTTATGAATTCATTTTTTGAGTTTTGAACCTTAATTAAAGCAGTACACAAAAGTACATAACTACGTTTACCATTAGCATGAGCTCCAAAATGGTGATTTTCATAGTTGTTTGCACAAACAGTTGGAGAAACCTCACTCAAGTCATTTTTTATTTAATTTGTGATTTCGGAACAAACACTTTTGCTTCCGGTGAAGGGAATCTAGACGCATTTTTTTGGTTTGAAATTATTTTCTAAATGCAAAATGCTATGATGATGCTTAAAACAATGTTTACAAGTATTTGCACTCTTACACATTTTAACTTTATTGGCATTAGACAAGGAATTAAAACAAAGTTTATTAGTCTTAACAAACTCTATTCGTTTTTGCACTGTAAGTTTAAAAAATTAGGACACCTGTGTAAAAAATGATCTTCTTTACAAAATAAGCAAGTAAAATTAGTAATTAGAGAAGTAACCTTATTATACACTGGTTTATCTGATTTATGCGTTTTACTAATTAAAGATTTACTGTTCTGTAATGTTTTAGGGTAATTCTTAAAAAATTCTATCAATTCATTCAACTTTGGTATTTCGTCTTTTTTTAATTGACGCTCCCACCACAACTTTGTCGAAATATCAAGTTTTTGCAAAATAATATACATCAACAAAGTATCACTAAAATGATCTATCTTTTGATCTAATATTTCCAATTACATTATCTACTAAATTTAATATCGAGGATGCAGATTCCGTTTGTATTTGTGAAACGTTAAAAATTCTTTTAAAAAAAGAAAATATCTGTTCTCTTTTATTAGAAAATCTTTATTCTAGTGAATTCCAAGTAATACTGAAATTTTGATCAGCTATGGGAATTGACTGAATAATGCGATAAGCATCATTTTTTAAAGAACTCTTTAAATATTGTAATTTTTGAGCTCCAGAAAGATTTGGATTATTGCAAACACAAGCGTTAAATAAATCTTTAAATGTTATCCATTCTGTTAAATTTCCGCTAAATGTGGGTAAAGATAATTTTGGTAACTTTAAACTTTCAGAGATTGATTCAGGTTTGTCGCCATTTGCGTTTACGACCCTGTCGATCTTTAACTTACGAATAATTTTTAAGTGAACCTCCTCAATTTTCTCTAAAATAGACTGTTCTTCCTCAACGAAAGTGTTTATTTTATCATCATCACAATTTGTATAAATTTCGCTAAATAGAGATTTGAAATCTTCCTTAAAGGTTTTACATTTTTCTAAGATTAATTCAGCTTCAGCATTATCTAAGTTATCATAATCTAAGTTCTCGATGAATTTCGTTAACTGTGTTTTCAAAACTCTCTTTCGTTTTTTCTCTGTATCTGACATTTTGAAAATATTCTAAATTCTCGATTTTACTAATACTTTAATAACAATAAAGTAGCAAGTTTCCTGTCTACCTTTATGGCAAATTTTAGAAATGGTATTTATGGTAAATTTTGATTGAGATACTGCTGTAAATGATCTCGAACGGCTTCTGTAACAGTGATCCGGGGAAGTGTCCCAATGAAAGGTGTAATCATCAGTTTGCGACATCAGCCAGTTTTCCAATGTGCCCAAGTAAATCCTTCCAGTTGCGCAGAGATATCTGCCTTATCGCCAAAGGTGGATAGTGAAATATGTGCAAAAACTATGCGAAAATATGTTAAAAATGTAATGACTTACTTTTATTTCAATGAAATAAAATTTGGTATTCGTTACGTACCTTATTTGTTAGGAATTTTAAAACTGTTTCACGGAACAAGTGTATTTTTAATTAAATAAAAAGCATACAAGAGCTATTGCAAAGGATTCTGAACGCTGTGCAAAGTAACGATTTGCAAAGTGCGATTTTAATAAGAGCTTTTTGGAGTCACCAGCGAATCTAATATGAGGTTTAATGTTGTGTACTATGCTTTAAAAATGTTTGATTCGTGTAGTGATAGTAGCCTTAACTTTTAGTTGTTATTATATTCGTGTTGATTCTGATAATGTTGTTGGTAATATGGAAAAATGCTATGATGGTAGATAATGTTTTTGAACCTAGCGTGAGTAGAATCTGAAAAGATTTCAAAAAATCGAAAAAACGTATAATCACTGATGACGGCTTTGTTTTGCCGAATAAGACGACCCGCTAAAATTCAGAAATAGGGTGGGGAGTTACCGCTCCTGAATAACTTTAGTGGTTTATCTAATAAGTGTGTTAAAAATGATAATAATACTAGTAGTGTTTCGAATAACCACGTGAGACCTAATGCAAATGTTGAATGTTCAGCCCCCTAAAACACATCCCATTATGGGCCAGCCTAATGTGAAATTTATTGATTTTCTTAAAAATGATATTTATACTATATTCACCGTCCGTATAAATGGGGAATTAATAAAAGTTGTACCCAGTTCTAAGAAAGATCATCGTATAATTTCGAAATATTTAATAGATACACAAATCAATCACTACTAATTATTTTGCGTAGGACTGAAGACCACTAAATATAATCCTGAGACAGGGACGTGCCGTCGGTATGGGCAAGACCGTGCGGCGCACAACGGCTCCGAGGCCTTTATCAACCAATACCGATCCAGTGGCAAAACTGTACTACTAACTCTTCCTCTAGGTACGCGTGCTTTCGCTGTTCGGTCAGAAGTTTTCAGGTTTAAGCTTGCAAAATTTGGGTTTATTAAAAGGCTTTCATGGTCGATGCAGGTTTTTTAATTTTTCATTGCTGTTGTGAGCCGTAGGAGCGCGCCAAGTATATGTATTCGTAAGTCCTGATTTGAAAATATAGTGATTGTGAAAGTTAATTAGAAAATGCAGTAACTGATCACGTGAATTCAAACACATTATTATTATTAACATAATTATAATAATGTTTTATTCAATTAAAAACAAACTTGTAATATATATTTTAATTTTATAACAGTTATTTTAATTTAATTGTGCTTTTGTATCGACTCTTGTTTCAACTTACGTCTCCCTACCAGAATGAGTTTTTAGAATCGCGTTGAATGCAAATGAGTAAAAAGTAGTATTTAAGGAAAGTCCAACTTACTTCGAGAGAAAGAGAGGTAGGAATTCTGAGTAGTACACGTTTGCCTTCGGGCTAAGTCTGTCTAGAAGCTGTTACGCTCGGCCGTATATTACGTGTCTTTTGACGTTCGTCAGCAAATTTAAATTAAAGGCCAACTACGTTAGATTTGTGTTAACTTATAGCAAGTCTCTTAGTTAGTTATAATTACTTCTTATTTCTTATTTTTATTTCAAGCCCGAGTAGAAGCTTTGTTGGGAGCCCGAATAACAAACTTTTCATCTTATTTTGAGTGAAATAAAAGGGAAGTTAACCCTTCTTGAGTTTACGATTCCTGTTTTTTGAACTAAGCGATAAGATGCGTAACTGTTCACTAGGTTCCTGACCATTTACTTTAGTAGAATAAGAGTGAGGAATTCTACAAGCTTACATAGTTTTAACAATATAGTCAATTTACCTAATTTTTATAAATACTTAACGAAATGTGCCATTAGAGTAATTACAAAATTTAAAATTTTGAATTTTTTGTAATAATTTTTCATGTAAAATAAATCAAACTTTATGTTTCCTATTTTTTGTGATTTTATTTAGAAGACCAAAGAAGAAAAAAAGAAATTGTATGGTTATCAAAACGTGCTTAACAAGCGGTAGGAAGACTTGAAAATAAAAGCGACTTAAAAGTTACCAACTTTTTTCGGTAGAACGCACATTTTCAAGAAGTACTTCTACTGATAACAGATTTTTGCATTTCTATCAGCATCAAAATTAGGAAAGCAAGCCAATGAGTATCCGATAGATTCAGGTTCTCATACGGTTTCAGTCGGTACCATTATGTCCGAATATGCTAGAGGAATCATCCGAAAGACACGTATTCGCTCCTCTCTAAAGATCCAGGACTTTAAATGTAACACTATATGACGCTTCTGTTACATACCTTTTGTTTAGATCGCTTTGACACCTTCGCACTTTACTCTTTCCTGTCTACTAGCTCTCACAGCTTGCTCTTCATGTCCGTTATGATTCATAATTCTAGTGACTCTTAATTTTTCAAAAAGCTTTTGTGAGTGTGCTGAACTTCTGCATAATTTATCATCTTTTACTTATAGTGTTTACAACTTTTGACTCAGTTACTTGCCAGAATCTAATTAGGAACTTTAAACTGTGTTCTACAAGGATTACGAAGTTCTGCCACCGCTAGCAGCATCAACAGCACTCTACCTTTCAGCGTTAATTTAGCTCAAGAAAAATGGATTACATTACATGATATACATTACGATATACGTAGTTATACAGGTGCATGTTTGAAGGTGTTATCTGTTGTAGTGGGTACAGGCATTATGTTTCAGGATATTATATATATTGCAGTAGAAACAGGCGTGATATTCCGACGTTACAAATCATTTTCGTAAACATGATCTATATACATCAGTGTTTATTATCAGAATTAAGTTAGAACTGAAAAGCTATTTACAAAGCTTACATTTAAGTACTGTTGTATAGTTATGCTGAAACTTTAGCAGCTCAATTTTGACGATTCATTATGTGCTGTAACGTATGTTTTTGTGATTATTGATTTTCAGAAATTACATGATATCTAGCAGTACATGATTATTCACATGTAAAGATTACATTACATGACATTATAAATTGTGGTGGCTAGAAGCAACTTATTTCTAGTTTATAGATCATGTTCACAATCATGACTTGTTTACATTATTATTCACAATCAGCAGTCAAAATTAGAAAGAATATAAAATAATAATAAAAAGGACATAATAAGTTAGAAAACAGAAGGAAAAAAATAGCTTCATCTGCATACTTATGCGTACTACGTGCTTTTAAGATACCACTTGCATATATATGCTGATACATTACCGAATTATTTTTGTCAGTTCATTGTATGCAATTTCCTGTGCTTTTAGAATAATTAATTTACAAGAATTACATTACATTGTTAATACTTTACCAATTCAATGCTGGCAATTTATTATACGTGTTCACTTTTCAGGTGATGTTACCTTATGCTACATAGAAATGTAGGGGGTCATCTATTATTTACCTTAAGTAAACAGATAGTAGCCCCTTACCCTACTTGTGAGTGTCCTTATGTTGTGCTTCATATGGTTTACGATGCTTATTTCTTTCCTGTAGAGGTACGCCGGGGTACATTACATCTGCATTTAATTGCTTTGTTTCGCTGTTGCTGGACCATTTCTTTGAAGATTAAGTTATACTACATAGCTCTTGACTTCCAGCAGCCAAAACGTCAATAACCTTCGTAATTTTATTCCTCAAGTGCTTGACTGCATATCTCAGAAATGGGAATAAGTCCTCTTCTGAATTTGGCTTCTTTAGATGAAGGGAATCTGTAAACGAGCAGAAAAATAGATAATGTTCGGGGTGACTTTTTCACCACATGCGCAGCAGGCTGATGAAGATAAATTTCTTGCGTAGAGGTACGTTGGAAAAGGCCGTGCCCCGTGATAAACCACGTGGCATGTCTGGAGAGATAAATGGAGGGAGAGTCAACTTTGGGGAAGAGGTTGTAAACTCTTCTGCTTGTATTCGCAGCGTTCCAAGATTGTTGGCATAATTATTTAGCTGTGATTTTTAGTTTTAGTTTAAGGTGAGAAGGTGGCCAGGGGATGCTTATTTTCTTGGTATTGATTCCCTGTGCTGCCTCCTTGGCTAATATGTCATCCTCTTCATTTCCCTTGTGACCAACATGATCATGTTGGTCACAAGCCTTGATCCAAATTATAAAGGCGTAGGGCATTGGAGGACTTTCTAAGAATTTCCTGGGTTAATTATGATTTTTTTATTTGTGTTCGTGAGTGCATGCATTGCCGAGAGACAATCTATATAGATGTAAATCCTTGGGAAATGATGATGTATGCTTAGGTTGATTGCCTGTAAAATCGCGAAAATTTCCGACTGAAAAACGCTATTCTGTTTGCCAAGTTGGAACTTGAAGTCTTTTTTTGTCATGATCATTGAGATATATTTTTATAGCACATCCTTTTCCGTTGTTCATGCCTGAACCATCAGTGTAGATCTTTGGAAATAATGTTTGGTATTTATTGTGCTTTATGCATAGTGTGATTTTTATTATTTCAGCTGGCTGGGTGTCTTTCATATGGATGAGTCGGTTAGGTGTAGGAGCTGGCAGATACTATCTTATTTTTAATTTTGCAGTCTTTTCTTAGCAGAAGAGCTGAAGCCTTTGCATGCTCCTGCTCCACAACTAAGAACATGGGTATGCTGCTAGTGAGCTGAAACAGTGCGGCATTTGAGGTTTTTCTGTAAGCTCGGAAATAATTTAAAAGGAAAGACTTTTTTCCATTTACACGGAGGGTTTAATTTCTAAAATTAGAAGTGTCGGAGCTTTCCAGGAGGCCAGCAGAAACGGTGAATAAAAAGAAGCAAATAAAATAATGAATACTTAAAATTAAAGTGCGAAAAGATGAATAAAAATCAATAAATTAAGTGAAATTAATGAAACATAGTTAAATAATGGGTTAAAATAGAGCTTATCGTTTTGGGAGTTTAGAGGCAAATTTAAATTCGGTTTATACGCCGCTTAACAGTTTGGCTGAATTTTCATAAAAATTTTACTTCTCGGTTTATATTCCGAAAAATGTGGTAAATACTGCTATTGTGCTAGGAAAACTATAGTATTATTTCTACGCAAAATTGGCGTTACATAAAATTTGTAATGAATGAGAAAATGAAAAAAAAAATCTTACTTCTATGAGGCCGTCTTTTAAAGCTTGATTAAATGCTAATGCTATTCTCAGTCTTCCTTTGTGGTCTGCATACAGAATCCTAGCTTGTGAACCTACAATCTCAAGTATTAAATGATGATATTATAAGCATCTAAAAGCATTTAGTTTTAAACATGATGAATAAATGGCGTTGTTAACTAACTTGGAGAAATATTCATGGTTACTTCATTAACACAAACAAATAATATAATTGGAAAAATAAAAAAGTTATAAGCATTGCAATTATAACAAACTGTTTGAAAAAAATTTAAATTAGCTCAATTACAAGAGGTTGTTTTGCTACATGAATGCATCAGTTACCAAATAGCCAAATCAGACTATTTGAACTATCACAACCTATTTGGATAGTCAAAGGAAGAGAGCTATGTAATCTTTCTTAACTGTAGGCTGCTTTTGTATATTTTAATTCGGCAAAGTTCATAAATTTAAAAAAAAATATTTTCAGAAAACAAAATTGCACTCGTGCTAAAAACTAAGCAACAAACACTAAAAGAAAAAATACGAATGAAAAAAGGGAAATTAAAACATAAAATTTACATATGAAGTAAAGGTTGCATCGCCGAATGCGAGCAGGCAACCAAAATTGCCTGCTCGCAGTCACACTACAACGCCTTAAAAAGGGGCATGTCGGATTTATTACGTCAGTTCGCGATTCTCAATAGTTCCATGTAATCCGAGATAGCCAAAGCGGAAAACTTGAGCCGAAGACATCATTTGCAGGATGAAATGCGTTGGAAGACTGTCGTGGAGATGTTGCAAGCTAGTGCAAAAGAATTCGCCCTAGCGAAAAATCTCAATGTGCATCTTAATGCATCATCAGTAGGTTGTGGAATCGTTATCAAAGAGATTAAAATCCCTGTAGAAGACGTGGTTCTGGACCTCAGAGAATTACCACAACGGCAAACGATTGCTTCCTGCTGCTATGTGCAAAACGCCGTACATCTCTAACAGCATCACTAACGGTTGGCATCGCATCTCTCTGGTGCTGCAGGATGGCCCACATCGCGCCAAACTGTGTAGCGGCAACAGGTCGACTCTAAGCCTGACGACCTGTGGTTTGTGTTCTTTTCTCCCCATTTCATATCAGAGCGTGGCTGAATTGGGCCCGTTGGACACCAGAGCAGTGGGGCCCCCTACTCTTTGCATATGAGTCTCGATTTAACATCCAGAACGATTTCCAAAGGGCCATGTATGGCGAGAACGGGGATACATTATCGGGCGCCAAACATGGTCGAAAGAAACCATTACAGTGGGAGAAGGCTTACTTGTATGGGCTGGGATAGCAACGAACGGTCGCACCGATCGCTATGTAATTCTTGACAGTTCGGTCACAGCACGTCCGATATCGCGACAAAATTCTGCACCCTCTTGTGCATCTTTTTATCGCTGCAATGGGTACGGACACGATATTTATGGGCGATAACACTCGCCCTCATAGAGCTCGAGTGATGCTGAGTTATCTGCAGAGTAAAACCTTTCCACATCTGCCGTGGCCTACTAAATCACCGGACCTGAATCCTGTAGAGCATGTGTGAGACACGTTGGGACGAATGACAGAAGGTCGCGGTGTGCCTCTAGGAACCATCTACGAGCTCTGATATTCATAACTACAGGAATGGGTTTTATCGCCACAGTCAACGATCAACGACAGTATTGCCAGCTCGCCTCGCTGCTGTCAAACATAGTTTCAGCTAGAGGGTACCAGACCCGTTATCAGCGTGATGTTTCCATTACACATTCTTCCGACTCATTTGGTCTTTCGCGATGTGATGGTGGTAATGCATATGCTTTCGTATGTCTTCATTTTATTGTTTGCTATGTGGTCTAATAATTCCACACCAACTTATGGGATTAATTTCACACATATCCATCCATTAAGAAGTTTTTGTTTTATTCCGTGTTTTCTTTCTTTTTTTTTTCCTTTTCTTATTTTTTTTAGCAGGAATGTATAAAAAACTTTTTTTTTATTTACCGAAACAGCACACAGTCTATTTTTAGTTCAATTAAAATAAATTTTTATTTAGTAGACCTTAAACACATAACCTTAATCTCTTTTTCTAATGCTAGCGTTAAATAAAGAAATTACTTGCGCAAAGTAAAACGCGTAACCTATTTCTAGTCAATTATTGAAATTTAAATAGGAAATTTTTATTGATGCAAAATAAGAATTATTTATTGATGAAAAGGTGTACAGTTTTTAACTGAGATAAAATTTTAAATTAATTATATAATACATAATATTAAATAAAAATATTGATGTAAAATAATAAAAATTAACTATAAAATTAATAAGCTTATTTCTTTAATAAAAAATTAAAAGCACGAAAATGAGTTTTCCTCAATTAATAATTAAAAGCATGTAAATAGAAATGAGTTAATAAATTTAATTTTTTTGGCCTATAAAGAACAAACGACTGACAAGATTATAGTTCTGATATAAGGAATTTTCCCCTTTCTTGCCGGGTGCCTTTGTGATGTAACTGGAAGCACGCTCAGCTAGCAATCAAAAGGTCGAATCTCAGTTATCCTATCTTTAGGGAATATGAACAGTCTTTACAGTGGCGTCTGACTAAAACCTGATGAATGATAATTCGTCATTACCTAGATCTGACAACTCGATTTCTCCTCCTCCTCAGTCGCACTTTAAGTGAAGGAGACTATAGTTACTTTTTTCTTTCTGACTCCGCTGCGTGGGGTAATTAGAAGTACGTACGACTAACATTGGGAGAGCTAGAATTCGAATCCCGGAGAGGGCATCGCTGGTTTTTCCTATTCCCCGCTTCCAGAAATATAATAGTTTGCATTGTTACGCTTAAAACTGTAAATGTCGTATAATCTCGACTTTTTGTAACGATCTCATTAATATAATTAAGCCCGACAAACAGATAGAAACTGATATTTTCATAAATAATTCAAAGCTTCGATAAATTCTTCTTAACACGCGAAGAATGACGCAGATCAGCAGACTCACTCACAAAGCAAATTTTAGCTGTACAATCATACCGACTGAATTGAATCATTGAACAGGCTTCAACTCACCTGTATTCACAGGGTAGCCCAAGCACTTCTGAAAGATTCGAGAGAAATCTCTCCTAGGGCTTCGAAAGTGTTTTTTCCAAAACTTTAATAAATTCGCTAAGCTGTCGAGAGATCTCAAAATGTCACCAAATGGGCCAAAAAAAAAAAAAAAAAAAAATGTCACCAAGACACCTGTGTCTCTTCTAATTGAGCTGTCTTCACTATTCAGAAATTAATCTATTTAGAATTACAAGATCTATAACATAATGTACGAAATAAACACTTAGAAGTACAAAAAGTGGCCACAAAGGTTTTATTAAACAAAAATATTTAACAAACTCATCACATAAAATAGGTTGAATAAACAGATGCTATTAAAAAAAAAAAAAAAAACTGAAAGCTTTCAGATTTTATTTTACCCCCAAAGAGGCTTTTTTTTAAAGTTTTGTGTGTTGCCTTTATTTATTAGCCCAAAAGGGCAACTTGTCAAGAAGGGCTATTAATTTCGGGTTGACATTTTGCATTGATTCACTATAAGCGGCGAAACACTTTTTAAATTGTGTCCAATAAATATTAGAGACCTGTATTGTATTTAAAGAAATTAAACAATGAATAATCTGCATAAATGTAAGTAGGTTTCTCGCATTGTGATATAACAATGGTACCTAGAGCCAGCCATCCAGTTTTGAATAACGTATTTCTCCACCCGAATATGGGCATTTGGATGATCGAATTTGGAATTTGCTTCATTATCTATTTCGTAAAGCATTTATGAGTTTCTGATTAAGAAAGCCAACGATTTCAAAGCGAACAATGGCAACACTGTATGGGAAAAAAAAAATATCTCAAGCGCGCGAGACTCTGTATCGGAAATTCTAAAGATATGCCCTTTTAAATATTTTGCAACTTTGTTGTTGAATTGAATTTTATGGTTTAAGTGCGAAGAACGTGATATTTAATAATTAGTATAATTAGTACCTTGTATTAATAAGTTAATACTAGAAACGTTAAAAAAACGCCCCTTTGGGCGTAATATAAAATCTGAAAACTTTCAGATTTTTTTTTTTTTTTAATATCATGTTCTTCGCACTTAAACCATAAAGTTTAATCTAATTGTTATATCGAAAAATAACTTAAAAAGAGCATATCTTTAGAATTTCCTATACGCAGTCTCGCTCGCTAGAGATAAAAAAAAGTTTTCTCTTTTTTTTTCCAGACAGTGTTGCCGTTGCTCGCTTTGAAATCGTTGAGCTTCTTAATTAAAAACTCATAAATGGTTTACAAAATATGAAATATATAATAAAACAAATTCCAAATTTCAAATTTGGGCTTCCAAATGTTAATATTTGGGTGGAGACGTACGTTACTCAAAATTTGACGGCTCTAGGTACCGTTGTTTTATCACAATGCGAGAAACATACATACATTTAATTTCTTTAAATATTAAAATTTTTCGTTATTTAATTTTTTTAAATATAATACAGGGCAATAATACTTGGTGGCAATAATTTGAAAAGTTATTCAGACTTTTAACGTTTTCGACGTAAAATACAAAAAGAGATTAATAGCCCATCTAGGTTAACGCCCTTTGGGCTAACAATTAAATATTTTTGTATTAAACAAAAGTATTTAATAAACTTATATAAAATATGTTAGATAAACAAGCAGAGAAAAACAATCTATAATACCAAGAAATACATAAAAACTGAACGAAGTAATATAAATACAACTATTTACATAAATTTACAACAATATTATGAACGATTTATTTAGAAACCTTCCATTTTAAATGTGTTTGCGCTGATATTAGCTTATTTTTTTAATATGAACTGAATTTGAATTGTAAATATGTATACGGTAGTATATTACCCGTTGAAAATGAATAGTGATTTCTCATCATGTATGATGTCTTCCAGCCGCATTTCTGGATATCAGAAATTGTGAACGAAATGATATGCCTCATGAGTCTAAAAATCAATCTTGAATGACCATGAACGGTTCGATGAAAAGCGTTGAAATCATTGAAGATGAGCATTAGTATC